GTGTTTTCAGGGAGGAAAAATTAATACACAAGTCTCCTGGAATTGGACAGAATGTTTATGAATAGAGCTCTTTCTGTTGGTTTTTCTACCAGTAAACTTCTAGTACCTGAACATTTATATGTTTTTAAATAATTGTCTGTTCATGTCTTTTCTTCTTTTTCTATCAAACTTTTGGTATTTTCTTTCCTCAGCTTCCCCTTCCCTCAGCTTCATTGGGGAATAATTCACAAATAAAATGTATATATTTAAAGTGTACAATCTGATAATTTGATATATGTGTATATTGTGAAATATTTATTGTGAATATAAATTTTCCAAAAGGCAAGGAAATACAATAGTTAAAGTAATTTTGGAAAAGAATAACGTGGAAGGAACCACTCTATTCAATTTTAAGGCTGTGGTATTGGTGATGAGACACATAGATCAATGAAACAGAATTGAGGAACCAGAAATAGAGAATGCATACATGTATGGCCAATGGCTTTTTTACAAAAGGGCAAAAATTTGGGTGGAGAAAAGATAGTCTTTTTTTAAAAAAAATATATTTTATTGAGTTTTTACAGAGAGGAAGGGAGAGATATAGAGAGTTAGAAACATCGATGGGAGAGAAACATCGATTAGCTGCCTCCTGCACATCTACTGGGGATGTGCCCGCAACCCAGGTACATGCCCTTGACCGGAATTGAACCCTGGACCTTACAGTCCGCAGGCCGACGCTCTATCCACTGAGCCAAACCGGTTTCGGTGAGAAAAGATAGTCTTTTTAACCAATGGTATTGGAAAGTTTGGTGTATATAGTAAAAAAAAAAAAGAACCTCAACCTAAACTCCACACTTCATACAAAAATCATCTCAAAATAGATCATAAATTTAACTGTAAAATATAATATAAAACTATGAAACTCTTTTAGAAGAAAACATAGAACATATTTTAGAAGCTAAGACTTGGTAAAAAATTCTTAAACATGACACCAAAAACATGATCCATAAAAGAAAACTCCATAAATTGGATTGCATCAAAAGTCCTTGCTTTGTGAATGACTTTGTTAAAAGGATGAAAAGTCAAGCTATGGAGGGGGAGAAAATATTTGCCAACCACTTATCTGATTTAAAAAAAATTATTCTTAGAATACATAAAGAACTCTTACTACTCACCAATATCAAAGCAAATAATCCAATTAGAAAATGAGCATAAAGAGACATTTCACTGAAGAGGATATATAAAAGTTATATAACTATGTGAAAAGATGCTCTGTTTATAACACTGTCCAAAAATGGGAATGGGAGATACCAGCAGAGAAGCCACTTCTTATGTGTGATTTTCATGGGTACGTTGGCTGGTCACTCTAGGCCCACACTCTTCTCTGGATGGCCTGGACATATTGGTATCCTAAAATTATGCCATTTAAAGATTAGGTATCCCAAAAGTCTCCTCTGTATTAGAAAATGACTTACATGTGTCCAGTGCCCACTTCTGTTCGTTCATTCTCATATGCCCAGGTTCAAGAGTAGATGAACTAGAATTGTTGAATGAATAAGTGACTCCCAGATAAGGATCTGTCTCATAGTATTTAACTCCTCTTCTCCCCAATAGACTCTAGAAGTAGAACATTTTTCCATAATAGTACATAAGGTGCCTATTATGGGAAGTGTTATGGAAGACTCATCTTCCCATTGCAAAGTAATCTCTTGGGGCCATGATCTATATATATAAAAGTCTAATATGCTAAGTGTCCAACTGAGCGGTTGACTGACTGGTCGCTATGACGTGAACTGACCATCACAGGACAGATGCTCCGACTGGTAGGTTAGCTTGCTGCTGGGGTCCGGCCGATCAGGACTGAGTGAAATGGGGCCAGACACTCCCTGGAGCCCGCCTGCGGTCCCTCCTGTGATCCCTCCCCGGCCACCAGCCTCAATTGACCCTGATCAGCCCTGATCGCCGGCCAGGCGGAGGGACCCCACCCGTGCACGAATTCATGCACTGGGCCTCTAGTACATATATAATGGGAGGGGGTGTAATAAAGGAGCTCAAAAAGGTTGATAGCTTTATGTCTAGAATCAGGGTGAAAATTACTTTTAAAGTTGTTCAGCACTTTGATCGATGAAGGAAAATAATTGATTTTTTTTTCTTCAAGAAAACACTGCAGTCCTGGCTGGGTGGCTTGATTAGTGGAACATCATCCTATGTACCAAAAGGTTGCGGGTTTGATTCCTGGTCAGGACATATACCTAGATTGTGTTCTATCCCCAGTCAGGGTACATGTGGGAGGCAACGGATCAATGTTTCTCTCTCATATTGATGTTTCTCTCTCTCTCTCACTCTTTCTCTATCTCTCCCTTCCGCTCTCTCTCTCAAATCAATGAAAACATGTCCTCCAGTGAAGATTAAGAAAAAACAACAACAAACACTTCAGTGAGATTACACCCCACTCAAAATGACAAAATTCTACTCAAAAATGAAGTTTTGAGCTCACAACTAACTTCATACTCATTAGTGAAAAACTGAAAGTTTTTCCTCTGACATCAGGAATAAGACAAAGATGCCTACTGTTACCACTTTTATGTAATATAGTATTGGAAGTCCTAGCCAGAGCAATTAGGCAAGGTAAAAGGCATCTAAATTGGAAAGGAACAAGTAAAACTGTCACTACTTCAGGTGGCATGATATTATATATAAAAAATCCTGAAGATTCCAGCAAAAACTGTTATAATGAATAACTTAAAACTAATAAATTCAGTTAAGTTGCAGGATACAAAATTAATATAAAGATGCTGCATTTCTATACACTAATAACAAACTACCAGAAAGAAATTAAGAAAAAAATCCCAATTACAATTGAATCAAAAAGAATAAAATAACTAGGAATAAATTTAATCAAGGAAGTGAAAGACTGTACACTGAAAACCGTAAGACATTATAGAAAGAAATTGAAGAACACATAGTAAATGAAAAGATATTTTATGCTCATGGGTTGGAAGAATTAATATTGTTACAATGTTCATATTACCATAAGAAATCTACAGATTTAGTATAAACTCTAAAAAAATTCTAGTAATATTTTCACATAAAACAACAAACAATCCTGAAATATGTGTGGAACCACAAAAGATACCAAGTAGCCAAAGCAATCTTGAGAAAGAGCAAAGCTGGAAGCATCACACTTCTGATTTCTAATTATATTACAAAGCTATATAATCAAAACAGTATGGGCCCTGGCTGGGTAGCTCAATTGGTTAAAGCATGTCCTGATATGCCAAGGTTGTAGATTTGTTCCCCTATCAGCACATAGATGAATCAATCAGTGAATCCATAAATACATAGAACAACAAATTGATGTTTTACCCCTCTCCTTTCTCTCTCAAAAAATAATTTAAAAAACCAATATGGTGTTGGCATAAAAAGAAACTCATAGATCAATGGAACAGAATAGAGAGCCCAAAAATAAATCCGCACATGTATAGACAGTTAATTTACAACAGAAGAGCTAAGAATACTATGGGAAAGGGACAGTATCTTCAATAAATTGTGTTGGGAAAATTGGACAGCCACATGCAAAAGAATGAAACTGGACCACTATCTTACACCATACACAAAAATTAACTCAAAATAAATTAAAGATTTGAATGTAAGATCGCGAACCATAAAACTTTTAGAGGAAAACATTGGTGGTAAACTTCTTGACATCAGCCTTGGCAATGATTTTTTGGATATGACACCAAACACAAAGGCAACAAAAGAAAAATAAATGAGTGGAGCTATGTCAAATTAAGAAGTTGCTGCACAGCAAAAGTGAAAAGGCAACCTATTTGTCAATCATATATCTGATAAGGGATTAATACCATATGTCTGTATATGCTATGTCTTCATTGTGGGCATGATTTCATCCATGTGTGGTTATGATGATGTGATCTGGATTTTCAGTATATGTTATTTAAAAAAAATTTTTCCTTTCACTGAGTCCCAGAGAATGGAGTCTGATTCCTGCTACGAGGATATTCCTAAAAGCCTTCCTGCAGGAACAAAAGTTGTCAGATCAATTCAGAGGAGATATAGCCTACCCAAGTTCCACAGCGGAGCATGTCACATCCCTGGACTCCAGAAATATTAATATTGGCAAAACCCAAATGTGTTCTTTTCCATATTGTAATTTTTCTCACATCTGGATAAAAATCTAGAGCCTGGACTTGGCTGTGCTTTGAGGAACTAGGGAAGGGCCTGGGTCTCTGCTGGCCTGAGGCAGCACAAAAAGGACAATAACCACCCAGGGAAGGCAGGTAAAGGGTAGCAATAAATCACTATCAGAGTGTTTTTTGGGAGCAGCTGACTGGGACACAAGTGACTACCAACAGGTTATTAGAATGTGTCAGCATTCTTTAGAATCCCCCAAATACAATGGGGGAGAGAAATCAGGCGAAATGCTGTTAATTCCTAGAGACAGTCACGCACAATGCAGAATGAACCATTGTCACTTGAGCTTTATAGAAAGTGCTGACCACTGAACATGGAGATTTAACATGTTGAGTTACATCTGCTCAATCCCACCCACATTGAAACTGGTCCCTCCCTTACCATAGTCTGTCAAAAAAATTTTTTTTACCATAGTCTATCTTAATGGAGTTCAACCTTCATTTGCTGGAATTTGAGGTTTTATAAACTTTTTATTACTTACTTGACTGTTCATAAATATTTAGCATTATTGCATCTGAGCAAGATTTTGGTTGTGCTAACAGTGGTTGGCAAACTCATTAGTCAGCAGAGCCAAATATCAACAGTACTTCTTCAAAATAGACTCACCCAGGCCGAAAACTGACTTCTGCACATGGGCCACGAAGTTTCAATCGCACTGTACCTGTGTGCCCGCACGTTGTATTTTGTGGAAGAGCCACACTCAAGGGGCCAGAGAGCCACATGTGGCTCATGAGCCACAGTTTGCCGGCCACTGTGCTAGGAAGTAGCACCCTGCCCGTGCAATGAATCTGGGCCTGTATTTTAAGGCTAGCTCTGGTTAAATCATTCACTTGGTAAATATTTATTAAACATCTATAATGTGCTAGGCCCACAGTACAGAATAAGATGGCAACCTGCCACTCCATTATGTCAGCATGTAATAGGAGAGAATATATTTTTATCAATAATGACTACACAACATGAGGATTCATAATAGTGGTCAGTAAGAACACATTGCCTTCCTCATCACTTTTTACTGGAGAAAAAGGCCCGTAAGGTAGTGGAGAATGTAGATTGAGTCATGCCTCGGGAGACATGCAGGTTCTACAACTTACTAGAATTCTCTTTGATCTATTTCCTCATATACACAATGGAGGTTTCGTATGTAGGTTAGTTGGCAAGACAATGACTATAAAGTGTTTAACACAGTTCCTGGCATAGAATGAATAATGTTAATTTTATACTTGCTTTGTGCTCTCCTCACATAGAAGCATCTACAACCTCCAAAACTGTTACCTATAATTGGAGAGGTTCCTTCTGATATTAGTCAATAACTTATTAATTTCAATAAATAAAGAAAAATAGAAAAGACAAAATTATAGTTTTAGCTTCTATATTGTTATAAAATTAGTATAAACTTCATTTCCTAGCTCTGGCTGATGTTAATCAATCATAACTGAAATTTCATCCCAGGAAGATTAGTAAAGAGGAAGGGTTCTGAAAGCTGCTCTCAAAGGAAAAGAAATCTTTTAGGTATTAAGAGAGTAGGGCTATAGAAAGGGCCTGGACATACTGGAAGTAATAACTTTAAATACACATAAACCATGTTATACATCTGTCATATTTGAAAAGGTGGATGATTTCAACACTGGCCTCTTGACTCTAGGGCAATAAAGGTCTTCTGGGGTTTTTTTGTGTGTGTGTTTTTTAAAAAATATATTTTATTGATTTTTAACAGAGAGGAAGGGAGAGGGATAGAAAGTTAGAAACATTGATGAGAGAGGAACATTGATCAGCTGCTTCCTGCACACCCCCCTACTGGGGATGTGCCTGCATCCAAGGTACATGCCCTTGACTGGAATCGAACCTGGGATCCTTTAGTCCGCAGGCCGACACTCTATTCACTGAGCCAAACCAGTCAGGGTAGGGAGTCTTCTGTTTTATCAGATACAGTTTCTCCCACTGAATCTAATAACAAAACAGACCTAATAACTATACCAATGGAATCTGAAGAGATGTCTAGTCTGAATAGGGTTTTATTTATTTAAAAACTCATTTCATGAATGCACATTAATAGGGCAAACTAGAATAGTCAATTGCATAAACAACTATCCTCACATAATAGTTGCTACTTGAAATAAAAACCCAAGTGACAGTAATAAGTGCAGGCACATACAATAGCATATATCAAACAGCTTAGAAGAAAGATGGCATGTTCTGAAAAAGTTTCTGGTGATTGCAAAAATTGGCCCAAGACAAAGACATTGATGTCAGAAGATGCATGTGAAGAGTTCAAATGAAATGTTAAAAAGCAAAAGTAGTAAAATATGTACTATATTAAGTAAATAAAACCTTAATTACTAAAATGAATAATGAAAGTGAGAGTAGCCCTCTTCTCATATTAGTTTATTTTCAAACTAAAGGCAAAATTTTAGTTTCAGCTTCTATACTGTTATAAAATTAGTATAAATTTTGTTTATACTGTTATATAATCCTAGTCAGAGCCATGGAGTTATCAATTCCCATTTCACCTTTGTGTCATTGAACCTCTGGTTCCTGGTCAGTGTTTGAAGTGTTTCATATATTTGGCTTCTTCCTTCCACTACTTGTTTTATTCATTAGCTACATGCAGCTATAGAAATTGTAATCTTTGTGTATTATTGCTGTGCTTTGGGTCCCATAAACTTCTCTCTCCCCTGGAGATTTGCTCATTAAATCAGCTCTAACACTCCTCTTCCTCCTCCTCCTCCTCCTCCCCCTCCTCCTCTTCTTCTGCCTCTTCTTCCCCTCCTTCCTCTGGGGCAGCCTCTTCTGGAGGCTTCTCTTCTGGAGGCTTCTCTCCTGGAGGCTTCTCTTTTGTGGGCTCTTCTTTTGAAGCTTTACAAAGGATGCACGAGGCAATACTGACAACTGCTAATATTATGAGAAAAAGTATTAAGAATGATAAGATCATGTTGTCTAAGATCTTTTCATGTTTGGCAGGATGGCCAGTGACAGCACCTGCAGCATCTGTTGGCTGTTCATCAGGTGGCAAACCAGGGGGACCACTGTCCACACTACCCCCTTGTCCTAAGTTTTTGCAGTCAGGGGGTGCATAGCCATACCTACAATGGCAGTGCTTCAAATTGTTGCAAACTCCTTTCTGATCACACATTGCTTCTACATCGCAGTCATACTTGAGCACAGCATCATCAATGCAGGATGCATTTGCGCAGATTTTCCCTTTGGAACAAGTAGTGCCATATTTCACATTTCCTCCATCATCTTTATCTTCAGTGTCATAGAAATCCATGGACCAGCAGAAGTTTTCAGGAGAAGGAATCTGGATCACTGTATGATAGGGTTTGATGATTGGCATCTGTCTAATACCTGAACATACAATTTTCCCACACCGCATATTCTCTGCTGTACACTTAACATACTCTTTGTTAGCAGTAGTAGGAAGGCCACAGTTTCCAAACCGGTCTCCGTGCTTGTTTACCAATTCATAACAATTGTCTTCAGCAGAAGTTGAAAAGGTCCCAAAATATTCTTGGCATTGAAGATTAGGGTTCTTACACTCACCTTGTACACAGTAATATCCTAGACATGGTGTACCATCTTGCATGTACACGTTATCGGGACATTTTGCAGAGGTACCATCACAATACTCTGGGAGGTCACACTCTCCTGAAGCAGGACGACAATTGAAGCCCTTTTCTTGAAATTGGCACGTATCTTTACAACAAGGTCCTGGACTACACTTTGCATCAGCCTTCAGCATACATGTACTGTCACAGCACTTGTTTGTGTTACAGTCAGTACCACAGTCACACTGCTCGCCATCATCCACCACACCGTTTCCACAATTGGCATCTCTACGCAAGCGGCCTTTGTGCTGCTGAGGGTTGTTAAATAGGCAGGCCCCTCTGTGCTCCTGGAGGAACTGGTAGAAGTCGTCAGAGCTACAGTTGCTGAAGCCACTTTCTGTAGTGATATTGTCACGCATGAGGCAGAGGGGTTTGTCTTTACAAATGCAGGCTGAGTGGTCGTGCCGAATACCCAAGTTGTGCCCAAGCTCATGGACCATGAGCGCTGCAGACAGCAGGACATCTTCATGATGGAAGGATTCAACAGCTGCTGCAAAACCACGTGAACAGGCACCGTTGAGAAATGCCTGTCCCATACCCTGTGCAGGATGCTGTCCGACAATCATGTGGGCAACATCATGCTTCACACGATGGAGGAGCTTCTCTTGTCTCCAGCTGTTGAAATTCCCGAGTGTAACTTGCAGGTCCACTGGGACCTCTATGAGGTCCCCCTCGGTCCAAATCTCCATTCCAGCCAGCACCACCTGTGTGTTTATTCCCCTAGTGAAGCTGTTGGCCAGGGCAATGATGTGCATCACTCTCTGGACCGTCTCATTGACGTTACTGCCCCACATTTGGAACCGCTGGTTGTTGACCACAACAAACATCTCCACATACTTGGTGAGTGACCACAAGTAGGACAGCTCCTGTAGACCGCCCCGCTTCCTGCTCCCTTGTTGCCGGCTGGGGGACACCACTGGGCTGTCTGTGGTGGAAGGCATTTCTTGTCACAGGAGGCCAGTGTGGTAGCTGAAGACTGGAAAGTTCTTGATAAAATAGTCTGTCTTCACTTTCAGGTGAATCAGCTGTGTCTGGCCCTGCATAGATATCACATAAGATGCCTCTTCCCCTGGGTCTTGCCTTCCCTCAACTGTCAGAGCCTTGGGGATGACTATTTCATAGGATGAATAATATACTGACCCCAGGTCACTGCACAAACTTGGCAGGAGAGTCAGTACCAACACCAGCACAATCCCCAACCTGACACGTGAAGATCCTGGCACCAGTACCAGCACCAGGCCCTTCATCTGGGGAGCCCAAGTCTGAAGCATTCTGCCAGTCTCATACATAACCACTTGGTTCTTCTGTAGAGAAGGCAAGGAGGAGGCAGTCTCTCTCACAAAGCAGCCACTGACATGGCCCCAATGAATCAGTGGCTGATGCAGGGCCTCTGTCCTTGAGCAGCAGCGCTCCTTGAGGTGCAGACCCTTAGCCACTGGGATTAGTTCCAGGTATATGCTGGTTGCATAAAGGCTGGATACTACTCCTTCTGATAGCAACTGCCTACCTCTGGCTGTGTCTTTTCTAATCTCTCTGACCTCTCTGTTGTCCTTCAGATAGTATCCATATTTGCAGCTTCCTTCCACAATATTAGCTTCAGTGATCCTTGGCTATAGTCCTTTGATATTGTGGTGATGTAATCACAAAGGACTACAAACTCTAAAATGCAAGATTTTACCTTAAGAAGGAAATAAAACCTTCGTGCCTTCCTCAACTGTGCCACACGGAACACACAGCCCCCCCACACCCCTCCTGTGTCGGTTGCTCGGCCAACTCCTAATGTTCCAGACCAGGGGGCTTGGAGATCATTGGTGGGCACACTCCATTGCCCATTTTGCCTCATCTAAAACTCTTGCTCTGTAGCACATGGGTATCAAACTCATGATGTTCTTGATTCTTCAATGAGGCTTTATAGTAATATGCACATGCCTCAGGCCAGTCGGTTAGATAGGCAAGGAGGTGGCTGTCCTGTACCCCAGGGTAGACCCAAAGGGGCTGGAGACCATGAGGCAAGGGACAAAACTCATCAAAATTTAGTCTCTCAAGTTCTGTTTATAACATTGCCAAAAAGGAGATGCCAACAGAGCAGCCTTCACTTATGTGTGATTTTCATGGGTATGTTGACTGGAAACTCCAGGCCCTTCTCTGGATGACCGAGACATATCGATACCATAAAATTATGCCAGTTGAAGACTAGGTATCCCCTTTTTTAGAAAGTGACCTACATGTGTCCAGTGCCCTCTTCTGTTTAATCCTTAGATGCCCAGGTTAAAAAGTAGATGAACTAGAATTACTTATTGAATGAATAAGTGATTCCCAGGTAGGGGTGCTGTCATGTATCATCTGTTGTAGTTATTTGTTTGTGCTCTCTTCATGCCTGCCCTGAAAGAATCAAAGTGTCTCTAGAAAAACCCACAACTATGTGGACAAATGGCACATTCATGATCTCAAAATGTACTTCCCTCTTCCTACATTTTGCTGGCCAGTTCACTTTCCTAATGTCTCTGGGTCTCATATTTTATTGAGGAAAAATAAAACCAATAAAGAGTACTTTCACATGGAAACGCCACTTGAGTCGCTTGTATCTAAATTTTCCTCTGACTCTGGGGGATAAATTGTCTGTACTCCAATCTAAGGCCAATCCTACTTGTGTGTGGGGTCTACTTGGATGTGCCCGCAACCAAGGTACATGCCCTTGACTGGAATTGAACCTGGGACCCTTGAGTCCGCTGGCTGATGCTCTATTCACTGAGCCAAACTGGTTACGCTTCTGTCTTTTATTTCTGAAACATCTATTTGTCCCTTGGATCCAATCTCATTATATGAAGTAATGTTTTATCTTTATCAAACCATAACTCTCAGCCCATGTCACTCTCCAGTCACCATCCAAAATCTCCTCTCTGTTTCATATACAATGAAACCCTGGAGATATATATCTATATATATATATATTCATTCATTCTTATATACATTTCACCCATACTTATTTCTTTTCTGAAATTTAAACTTTGAATCATAGCACAGTCACAAAATGTGAGTAAAACATATTTTTCAATAAATTATTTGGAAGAGAACAGCTCAATCACACACAAAAGGACACATGTGATATGACTTAATTTATATGAGATTCCTCAAGTAATCAAGTTCGTAGAGATAGAAAGTGAAGTGAAGGTTACAGGAGCTGGGAAAAGAGTAATAGGACTGGTTAATGAAGACAGTTTCAGTTTGAGATGATGAAAAAGTTCTAGAAGTGGATGTTGATGTTGGTTGCACAACAATGTAAATGTACTTAATACCACTGAGCTGTACACTTAGAAATGGTGAAGAGGGTTAATTTTATCTTATAAATATTGAAGAGCGTTAATTTTATCTTATGAATATTGGAGAGAGAGACAGAAGAGAAAGCTGTGTAAGTACAACTCTGATCAAGTAATCAACAGTTTTAGCTCCATAGAAGTCACCCATGTGCCATTGCCAGTCACAAATCCTGCTGCTTTAAAGATAATCATGACCCTTTCTTTTATGGTATCTACTTTGTCACTTTTCTTTCTCAATTTGCTTCCTAAACATGCACTGCAGAATTTTGTAATTTTTTTATTTTTATTTTTAATCACATCTTTATTGAGATACCATAATTCACATACCTTACATAATTCACATACCTTAACATTCATCCTTTAAAGCAGGGGTCCTCAAACTATGGCCCGCGGGCCACATGCAAATACAAATATTGTATTTGTTCCCGTTTTGTTTTTTTACTTCAAAATAAGATATGTGCAGTGTGCATAGGAATTTGTTCATAGTTTCTTTTTAAACTATAGTCCGGCCCTCCAACGGTCTGAGGGACAGTGAACTGGCCCCCTGTTTAAAGTTTGAGGACCCCTGCTTTAAAGTGTACACGTCGGTGGTTTGTACTGTGTTCAGAAACTTACGTAACTGACACCAAATCAATTTTAGAACATTTTCTCACCCCCAAGGAAAACTCTAGTATCTGTTAGCATTCCTCCCCATCCTCCCCTCCCCACAGCTCATGGCTCCCACTACTCTACTCTCTAGCTCAATGATTTTGTTTATTCTGGACACTTCATTGCAGTGGAATCCTACATGTGGTAATTGTCTGTGACTGGCAAATTTCACCTAGCATAATGTTTCCAAGGATCAGCCATGTGGTAGATTATGTCAAAACTTCCTTTCCTTTGGCCAAATAATGTTCTTTTTGTATGCATATACCACATTTTTTATTAGATACATCAGCTGATGAAAATTTTGGTTATTTCTACTTTGGGACTATTGTGAATAATACTGCTATGGACATTTGAGTACAAGTTTTTGCATGGACATATGTTTGCATTTCTCTTAGGTAGATACTTAGGAGTGGAATGTTTGGTCATGTGAGAACTCTACATTTATCCTCTGGAGGAATTGGCCAACTATTTCCAAAGCATCTGCACAATTTCACATTCCTGCCAGCAATGAGTTAGGATTTCATTTTCTTCTCATCATCACTAATATTTGTACCCCAATCAGGTATCAAACTTGCAACCCTGGATATGTACTCTGACTGGTAATCAAACCCGGAACCTTTTTGGTATAAGGGATAGTGTTCCAACAAATTGAGTAACCTGGCCAGAGCAAGAAGTACTTCAGTTTTTCTTTTAATTTACATTACTGAATTAAATAAATTTTTATAAGATACAAAAGTTATCTATTTTTAAGTGTACACTTAGTGAGTGGCATTAAGTGCATTCATAATGTTGTGCTACCTTCACTGCTAGCCACCTTCAGATGCTTCTTTTTGTAAAACTCAAACTCTGTATTCATTAATCCATAAATCCCCATGGCTTCCTTCTCCCCTACCCTAGGAGCTGCCATTCTACATCTGTCTCTATAATTTTGACTACTCTGAGTACCTCATACAGTGGAATCATATAGTATTGGTCTTCATGTAACTGGCTGATTTCAGTTAGCACAGTGTCCTCAAGGTTCATTCATGTTGTTATATATTGTAAAATTTCCTTTCTTTTAAGTGGTGAAAACATTCCATTGTATGTCCATACCATACTTTGCTCCATCCACTCATTTGTCAATGGATACTTTATTGTTTTTGTTTAGTTTTTAAATTAATAAACTTGATAGTTCTATGATTTGATTAATATCCATACTTCCCAAGAAGTTGTAATTGACTATACTAGTATTTGCTTCTATGGAGCGGGCAATTTTTGGAGGATATTATTTTAACATTTTGGAAGTGATTTTCATTTTACCTCTTACCTTCCTCTGAATCCATATGGATGTCCTGTTCACATATGACCTCTTTACTCTACCTAGTACTTACATTTACTTACTGATTTTGTGTGCTGCTACATTTCATTCCTTTCCATTGCTCTATACTGTGGATTTATCCAATTTAACATCCATTATATGTGAACACGGGGCTCTTTTCTTTTGCAGTACTTGGAAGATTAGCGATTCTCAACCTGTGGGTCGTGCCCCCTTTGTGGGTCCA